TGCAAAAATTTAATTACATTTCACAAATAATGAAATTCTTCGCTGAAATTAAAATTCTTATAGATAATTTAACAATTTTTTTTAAATAATTCAATTTCTGAGAAGAATTTTATTATTTGTGAAAATAATTGAATTTTTGCGAAGAATTTTATTTAATTCTTTTAAGTAATTGAATTCTCGGGAAAAATTTCAATTAAATTTCTATTAGAAAATAAAAACTTCAAATTATTATCGAAAATTTTAACTGAAATTCATTTTTAAATCAATGTTTATTAGAAATTTCTGCGATAATTGAATTATTTAAATACAAAACTAAATAATTGAATGATTTTTGAAATTCAATTCTGGTAAAGAATTTAATGAACAAATTTTTAAATAACCGAATTCTTTTGACGAATTTTAATAAAATTTTTATGAATAATTACATTTTTCGTGAAATTCAGTTAAAATTGTATTAAAAAGAATTGAAATTCTGCGATAAGTTTTATTATTCATAAAAAGAATTGAATTTCTGTAAAAAAAATTTTATTTTTTATGAAAATAATTTAATGTTTGCTTAGAATTTTATAAAACATTTTTGAAAATAATTAAATTTCGGAGAAGAATTTTATTATTTTTAAAGATAATTGAAATTTTGATGAGAACTTTTTAATATTTTTAAAAATAATTGAAATTCTGCAAACATTTGTAACTTCTCTAAAATTCAATTGCTTTTATAGTGTATTTAATTAAAATTCTTCTATCAAATCTATGATCTTTAATAACTAATTAAATATTATAATAAAAAATTAAATAAAATTAATTTCAGAAGAATTTGAATTATTCAAATATTTCAAATATCTGAGTTCTTTAAAATTTCTAAGCAACTTGATTCAAAATTAAAATTTTCTTTAATTTCAAATTAAAACATTTTGAAGTTAATTTATTTATGAAAATTGTAAAATGCAATTTTTTTAAAATTCAATTATAATTTTGAAATATTGAAGTAAAATTATTCATTAAATAATTTACAAGTAATAATTTTGTGATAGTTCTTCAAAACTCTTTAAAAAGAAGTTATTATTGTCATAAAGAGAAAAAATTGAACGTTTTGTATTAGAATTACTTTCCCTGGCCTGTGGCAACCCTGCTATGGTAATAATAATAATAATAATAATAATAATAATAATAATAATAATAATAATAATAATAATTTTTTGAATAAATTAATAGTTTTTTAAAAATGACTCTCAATCGAATTATCTCTGTAGATTTACTGGGCCCGTTCCTACGCCACTGCAACTGAAGGTTATACCTTGCAAGTTGAGTGTGAAACTGAAAAAAAGGTATAAAAGTGACAAGTGGAGGTTATGCCCTCGAATTCGAATACATACAAGAAGAACGACAATTATAAATGATAATTTTGTCTGCTAAAGTGTAATGTTAAAAATTTTCACTCATAGTCGCAGTATAAATATGACTCGTTTTCAAATGCGAATAGACAGAATGAATCATCCGTAAAGGTTCTTCCGCTTAAACAATCGATAATACCTCTATAGGCGCTCTAATTTTTTTCCTCCTCTATCACTTTTCTTCTCTCTTTATATTCTTGCCTTTCTTCATTTACAGGTCTCTCTCTCTTCTTTTTTTCGCCCAAGAGAGAGAAGCTTTGCTATATATGCCAGTCAGGCACTTCCACGAACTTCAACGATTCTTCTTCTCCTATGTTCATTATCGACGAAGCGCGAATGTACAGGCATTTCCGAGCCACGAATAGAATTGATTGCGATGAGCTTTTTCAATTTTTAACGACATTGCCCGGCTTTAGAAGCTATATATCCATATATGTATAGGTATATAAACGTAACAAGATTTTCTTCGATAAGAAAATTACTCCGCGAGTCAATCATTCAAGAGATGATCAATTTTCCAAGTATTCATTAATATATAAGTTCCCTCTCAACAACTATCGAATTTTTCCTCTTTTGCGTGATTATCAGTGTGAAATACTATTAATACTGCCAGAAATAGATGATTAGAGTCATTATTTACTTGTTGAGGAACAATCTAACGTCCAGTATCAAAATCTCCTGTATTTTGAGTTTTTAACTGAAAAAGACGATTCGTCATTTACTTTTTAATATTTTAAACAGTTGCACAATTTTTTGGGGAAAATAAGAAGTATTTGCAAATTTTACTTTATGTTTTACCTAAAGTTTCTTATTGAAGAAATTTTCAATTACCAAAATACATTTCAGTTAATTAATATAGTTTCCCTGTTTCAATCTCAACCTCTAACATAATTAAATTAAACAAAGAATTTTTTAAATTTTTTAAAATAAGAATTTTATGGAAATTTATGAAAATAATTAAATTCTTGTGAAGAATTTTTTAAAAAATACATAATATTCAAAAGAATTTAGTAAATCTGAAGAATTATGATATTTATGAAAATAATTGAATTCTTCAGAAGAATGTTTTTACAGTTTCTAGAAATAATATTGAATTCTTTCGACGAATTTTAATAAAATTTTTAAGAATAATTACATTTTTCGAGGAATTTGATTAAAATTAAAAAAACTTTTGTCAAAAATAATAATTAATTACAGAAATTTTTGCAGTATTTAATTTAAATAATAAAATAAAAATAATAATTATTACATAGTAACCACATAAGAACAGTAATAAAGAAATAAAAAATGACAAAAATAATTATCTAGTTGAAGTAAAATTAAAATCAATTAAACAAATGAACATATATTTTATATAATCTATAGAAAATATCAAATCTTTTTTTTTACGGGAAAATATATATTATCAGCTCAAGAGAGATATCAACCCTCACTTATCTTTTGTATTCCCGGTATATAATCGTTTACAATCCAATAGCAATCTACAGTAATCCTTTTAGTTCCTTTTGATCCCAATATCCTATGTAATAAATTTTTGAAATGTGTCTTTTATAATTTTGTTAGCATTGTAACACGTTAATATACTTTAGCTTTAGAAAGATCGAAAAAATTCCCTTGAAATATATTTTTTGAAAATTTTTCTATTTTTACCCGTGTAATAAACTTTCTTTTATATTTTCTTCTAATAGAAAAAAAGTATTATTATTTTTTAGTTAAAATTTTCGATTTTTTTTCTAATTTATTTCAATGTTTTTCAAAATGAAACATTAAATTAAATTAATAATAATATAATAATTAATATTAATTTAACATTAATTAAACGTTTTTATCATTTTTTTATTAAATTAATTAAATTATAATTTTAATTGTAACAAGAACTTATTATAACTTTTAATAATTATTTATTTAATGTTTTTTTTTACTTTTTTTTAATTCATTTAAACTTTTTATAATTTTACGTTAATAATTTCCTTTTTAAATTTGAATCAGTTTAAAGTCACTGTTGAACTGACAATTAACTGATTTTTTGCTTTTGAATTCAGTAAAAATTAACTGAAAATTTTAGTTAAAGACACAAATAATTATAAAAGTAAATTTTACAATTTGAAAAAAATATTAAAATAAAAATAGGTAAGAATTTTATACTGTTACGTGTGTGATATTCTTTTTTTTAGTTACATAGATGAAAATGAACAAGGTGAATATTTTCAATTTTCTTTTGTGTCCTAATAACAAGCTCCTCTAATCCGATTAAAAGTTTTCCTCCGACCAAAGTTTTGAATTTTATTTGACAAAATGCAAATATTATTTTATTAAAAAATTATTACTAATTTATTTTTGTTACTATTATTATTTTATTTATTGATTTATTATTTCTGTTGTCTTCTTGTAATTATTTATTTATTATGTATTTAAAAAAATTAAAATATTTACTTGCATAAAAAATATAAAGTTCGAATTCTTAATAAATATGCATTAATAAAGAAAATCAAGAATTCTTACGACTTACATTGTGGAAATTCCATTTTTTTTTCTCTGTGACAAAGTCTTTTTCTAAGTTTTCGCTTCCTTGGTTTTGTTGTCACTTTGTCAGCATTGGCTTCTGAAAATTTGCAAAAAAATACATTAAAAAAAAGAATAATGAAAAATGAACTCGATTTAATCATTTTTTTGTCACTTCTTCTGGATAATATTAAAATATCTCGCTTAGTTGAACAAAAATGTAAATTTTCAAAAAAATGAGGTTATGTACGGTTGAGTTAAAGAATTACAATTTTTATCATTTTGCAGATCCGATTTTCCTGTTTTGTATTCTTATTTCCATTCATGACACTTAAAATTAGTTATTATATACTATTTGTGATAAATAAAAAGAGAAATAGATTTAAATTAACGAAAATAAAACTTGTAACTGATGTTTCAAACTAAATGCACCTTATGGCCCAATGACTTGAAGTTGCCAACGGATCGAGCAATAGTGCCAAATTAAAACCCTCCGTCTCGTATGTGAATCAACTGAATGGACCAAGATTGCATAAGTTGGTACACTTGCGAGCGACCGTTATGCAAAGTAGACAAACCGAAACCGTTTTCCCCGTTTTTATTAAAAAATTTTCGCGTTAATTAGATATTAGTTATTGTTTTCGCGTCGGTGGATAACGATCTCAAGATTATAATAATCCTAAAAGGCGGACAAAAACAAAAAAACTGGATCTAGAAAAGAAAAATGCATACGAAAGTCACCTTTCATTTATACCTGGTTTTATTTTCCCGGGAGTTCCAGGAAAAAGCCCCCTGAGAAAGAAAACGAAACAGGTGTTTCTGTTTTTCACCATTTAGAAAACTGTGATGGGTCCTTATCGAGTGTGTGTGCTTCTTTATCGAACTGGTTGAGCGATCCGGTCATCCGGTTTGAGAATATCTAAACGACCTAACCTTGCTTTCTACATGTGAATATGTATGCAAGACACGCACATAGACAAGTTGTGTTATTGTGTATTTAGAGAACCTAAGCTAAAGAAGAAGAAGAAGAAGAAGAAGAGGAAATTGGGTGGGGCCACTGGGGCCACTTTGAACACTAAACAAAGTATATGAAGTGTATAAAGTGTACATGCAATAAAGTTTTGTTTCATGCGAGGGTGGTCAAAAAAAGGAAAAGAAAAAAAAAGAGTGGGGCACCTGGACCCAGAGAGTGAATGAGAGAGAGAAAAAGGGAAGGAGGAGGAAAAAGACTCGCTCGCCAATGTAAACGTAAAGGCCGTGGCGTCTCAGTCGCAGGATTGCACGCGCAACGTAAGCGTAAGTCGCAACCCAGCGGTGGTGATTTCGTGTTCTTTCGGTCGAACTCGGCGAAACCGGCTTGCATACTACTTCAAAGATAATTCTCATTTCTCACCAATACATTAACAAAACTCACCGTATTCATTCGTTCAAGTAAGGTCCTCTCATCCACACACGTGCTTGTAAACAAGTGGTCGCCATTGTGGACAAGACGCGCGATTCTCTCATGTAGAGATTTTTCCTTAAAACATTTTGTGTTTATAAAAAAAGTGTTGGCAGTGTTGGCGAAAAAAAGAAACATTTAACAGAATTTCAAGGACAAGGAACACAAGAAACAAAAAGAACTCTGTGAACATTGTGCTCTAAGGAAAATTTCTTTTCAAAAGTGTTTTTTTTTGAGAAAATCTAACGAAAATTATTTTTGCAAAAGGAAAAGTTATTAGAGAATTATTCTCCTGTGTGTGAAAAGAGGTTATGTTAAGGGGGAAAAAAGGAAGAAAGGTTATAACGGCTTAGCGGTTGGTGAGCGAGGAGGAGCAGGTCATGCAAGTGACGTAAGGTAACGGATTCATGTAATATTTTTTTGTACTCTTCTATATACAATGTCAGAATGTCTATTTATAAACGAATTTTTGCTATATATGAAATTTCAATTATTATTTTTCCATATACGTGAAACTTTCATTTCATAGCTGCATATTTGCTTTAACATTTTTATAAAGAGACCGTGACGAACGGAAGCGGAGAAAAATGAATTTATTCTACTTTCCTTCTGTTTGTGTACTTATAATGATTTTATCATTACACGTGACGGAAATATGGACGATAGTTTGTTTTTCTATACACATTCAAAATAAGGTTAGGTCTCAGTTAAAGGAAATTGAAATAAAGAACAGTATTTTTTATACACGTAAAAGTCGAACTAGAAAAAATTTAATTTTAGGTACTCTCAATTACAAATTAAAATTGTTACTTTTAATTTTCATAAATTATTAATTAATTTATTTACTAGAAACTTATCAAAGTATGCAAAACTGGAAATGTTTACACTTTACAGTAATTTATTCTTATGAATGAAGTGTTAATTTATTCCTTTCAATGATATTTATTCCTTTATGTTAAATATTAATTTATTCTTTCGCTCTATTCAGCATTAATTTATTCTTATAAATTAATTAATAATTAATTTGTAGGATTTGTAGGAAATAATTCAATTCTTTAAAAATGGAAAATTATTCGTTTTCAACTTTTTCTCTTTTGTTTAATTGTTTATTTTACTTCTAAAGTATTAAAATATTTTAAACTTGTTTGTTAAAATTACAGTTAAAAGAATAATATTAAAATCACTCTTTCCATTGTTCGCTCGTATTATTGTAAAGATAATACTTTTATTAAGAAAGTTAAGGTAAATCAATAATTCCGCTTCTGTCTCATTGACTTACATGTGTATCGTCGTTCCAAACTTTTGTAGATTTCTATATGTATATATTTCGATATATATATATGTATAAGAATAATTTATCGACAGAGGCTTAAAATATACATTATTCCAAGAAATAGGAAATATCCTTTTTCTCGTAATTTCCTCTGTCAATTTTATTGAAATTGGATTAATTTGTTTTCAAATTGTTTCTGAATTTATACAATATTGTGGGAATTTAATTGTTCAAATCTGAGAATTATCCTTTAAATTTAATAAATTTTAATTCAAAAAATTTTTAATAAAATTCTTTAAAATGATTCAATTTTCACAAATTTTTCGTAATTAAATGATTTTTAATATCTAGGTACTATTTTAATAAAAAATTTCCCAAAAGAATTAAATAATTTTTAAAAAAATGGTTATAAAATTCTTTTTAAACAATCAATTATTTTCATAAATAATAATGTTCGTCCCAGGAATTCAATTATTTTTTTAAAATAATAAAATTCTTCTCAGGAATTCAATTATTTTTTAAAAATTTTAATAAAATTCTCTGCAAAAATTCAATTATTTTCATAAATAATAAAATTCGTCTCAGGAATTAAATTATTTTTTAAAATTTTAATAATAATCGTTTAAAGAATTCAATTATGTTTATAAATATTAAAACTCATAGCAGGATTTCAATGATTTTTAAAAATAATACTTTTTTGCTACTTTTTGTTACTTTTTAAAAATTAATTACCGAGTACGAATCCTGGATAATTAATAATTTCAATAATAATAATTTAGTAATGAAATAATCGATATTTTAATAATTCAATAATAATTTGACATAAAAATATTTTTTTCCATTGAACATTTAGTTAAGGAAATATTTTCCTAAAAAAAGCATTTTCCATGAATTTTCTGTTCTTTATTTTGTTTTTCGCTTCAGTGAATAAATTTTAAAAGAATTTAAATCGAAATTTTTATTCACGCGAAAAGTTATTGGAGAATATATAGAATATATTTTTTTGAAAGACATTTTTTCAATGTTACGCTTTAATATAATTTTTTTTTTAATAATATTGTACACATTTTTGAATGCTTTTTAAATATATATATACAAGAAAATAAATTCTGTTGATTTTATTACTTTTTCAATAAAAATTGCGTGTTTATTGACATTATCCTGGATATAAAAATATGCTTTTTGATCTTTGATTACTCTATTGAAAATACATTTTTTAGAAAAAAAATTGTAGATATTATTATTATTATTATTATTATTCAAGAAGAATCAAAACCTCTTTTATTTATATTATTGTTATTATAATTATTATATTATTGTTATTGAATATGGGCATTTTTTGGGAAATAAATTATAAACTAAAATTGAAACTTTAGAAACGTATATTTCGTAAAATTACCACACAGAGTTCTATAACAATGTGCATACTTTCAAGGTATGCGGACGTAATATAACACCAGTGGATACTAATTAGTTACGCTACTCGTCTGCAAACAAAATTTTCACTTAACCAACATTTTCTATTGAATAATCGTTTTTTCGAATGTTTATAATTTGTGTTTAAAACATGATAAACTCGTTGCGATTCGCGAATCTATTTTTCACTCTTTTGACATTAAAGTTCTGAACTTTATAAACTATTTTTTACACAAATAAAAATAAATAAATTTCCTTCATTTGAATATGTTCAGAATTTGATGGATCAATAATTTTTCCTTGAGTGCTTGTCATTTATGTTTTAAAAATGAGAACTGAACTCAAAAATAAGTATTAAGGAAAGGAAGATGTTCGGCTCGATTTATACACATGCTCTGCTCGTAAATACAATCATCTTCGAACCTGATTTAGGGACCTGCAGTAGACTTGCACTCAAAAGAGAATCCCCGTAAAAATGAAATGTCTTTTTGAGAATTCGAAAGAGAATGAGAAAGAGAGAGGAAAATCTTCGGAAATACGAAGGTTATGGACCACCTATAGTTTATCTTACCGGAAGATTTGCTGCATTGTGCTGTATAATAGAGAGCATACAAGTGCTGATATTGTACATATTCTCTGGAAGAAATGAAATAGATTTTCGTCGTCATTCAATGGATTTCTAACATGTTGACCACATTTCAAAAATATTTTTTACAAAAAAAGAGAACTTAAGAATATTTAACTCTATAAATTTTTACTTGGAACATAAACACAAGATTTTGACAATTGTAAGGTATTCGTGACGCGTTACAATATTTCTTTTCGCGTTACACTTATTTCTAAAAACTTTTTTGCCGAATAAGTGAAAGAAAAATATCGAAATACTTAACAATATGTTGCGAGCTAAATACGTTATTTTTAATTACTCATTAAGTGCATTTCGACATAATAACAGTTTTTCTGCGTTTTTGGTTTTGTTTTTCTAAATATAATTTGTATAGTTTTAAAAGTTGTAATTTAAATTCTCCACACATAGATCGGCACACACGAGATGTACGTAATCATTGAAATGTGTGGTTGTAAAATAGTATATCGCCTTTTTCTTCAGTCATTTTATGACTTTTGAAGCCGCGACTTGTTGTATACAGCAGAGAGAAACGAAAATTACCGTTTGTTGCGAGTTTTAAAACAATGGCCCTCAAATTGAACAACCCTGGTATATGCATTTTTTCCAACTCTTTTTCTCTTTCTCTTTCTATATATATTACATTTATTTTATTTTTAGCTCAATATTTTACATTTTTCGGTCAGCAAAATTTTTACTGAACATTTGCATTTCTTTTTATTCCGATACGTTTTCGATGCGATCATTTTTTGTCCGTTTTGACTGAAATCATCACATTGCTTTATATAAACAAAAGAATATAATTATGAAAATTAATTAATAATAATAAAGTACATGGTCCGGTAATCTGTTCGCAGTTTGAAGTTATAGTTGTTATTTTCTTTTTTGTTTACTCTCTTTTTTATAATTTTTCTTTTCAAATATTTTCAATTTTAAAATTAATGTATCGAAAATCATCGAATTGTTCCAAAGAATTTTATCCAAAAATTTGATAATAATAGGATTCCTTCAAAAGAATTTTACTATTTATAAAAATAATGGAAATGTTTGGAAGAATTTATTCAAATTTTTAGGAAATAATTGAAATTTATGGAAATATTTAAAAATATTTGAATTCATCCGAGAAATTCAATTAAATTGTTTTGAAAATAATTGAATTCCTGCAAAGGATTTTACTAATTTATAAAATTAATTGAATGATTGTAAAGATTTTACTATTTAAAAAATAATTGAATTGTTTAGAAGGATTTATTAAAATTTTAGAAAATAATTGAGTTTTTTCGTGAAATTTTATTAAAATTTTTGAACCGATTTTGCAATTGAACGTATGCGAGAATATTTTTAATTTAAAATTATTTATACACGAAGTCGAATTCAATATTTTATTTCAGTATCTCGCGGGGAATTATAAGTCAAATTAAGGAAAAGAACAAAACGCGATAAAAGAACGACATGGCAGAAATATCTTTGATATTAAATTTTCAAAGATTTCTGGGAAACTTTTTCACTTTAGATTATTTTTCTTCTCCTCTCTCTCTCTCTCTATCTCTCTGTTTATATTGTATACATTTAAATTAAAAAACAAATCTTTTCAAGTCAGGTTTACACATTTCTTTCCTATTTGTATGTATAATATAAAAGAGTGAAAAAAGAAAATTATTTTGAGAAGAAATTCTGGATAATTGTATACAATATTTCTTTTCGTAACTAGGAGAGTGAATAAAAATTCGTGAAATATAAATTAGAAAAGTATACATACGTATATGAATTAAAATATAAAAAGGAACAATATTCGCAAGTGAATCCGATGAATTTTTTTTTCTAATAATTAGATTCGTTATTTTACAGTTTTTCAATTTTTTTTATAGAATTTTGAAAATAAAAAATTCTATTAAAATTTTGTTTTTAGTTTATTTTACTTTTTTAGAACAATATTAAAAGTTTTTATAGTATTTGTTCTATTTTTACTATATAGTGCTACTGTCATTTTCTTTTCACAAGAAGTAGCAAATTTTCAAGAATCAAAAGTTTTTATCATAAATTTTCAAATTCATCACATTACTATTCCTGGCAGTGGAAAAA